CAATATAAAAACACTTCTTTTTTTTTTTTTTTTTGGAGATGGAGTCTTGCTTTGTTGCCCAGGCTGGAGTGCCATGGCGCGATCTCGGCTCACTGCAACCTCTGCCTCCCGGGTTCAAGTGATTCTCCTGCCTCATCCTCCCGAGTAGCTGGGACTACAGGTGCACTACCATGCCCAGCTAATTTTTTGTATTTGTAGTAGGGATGGGGTTTCACCGTATTAGCCAAGATAGTCTCCATCTCCTGACCTCGTGATCCTCCCATCTTGGCCTCCCAAAGTGCTGGGATTACAGGCGTGAGCCACCACGCCTGGCCTAAGAACGCTTTTTTAAAACACTCATTCAAATCTTTGCTTGTTTTGTATAGGGTGGGGTGTACTTGCAGCCCTTGCTTTGGATTTAACTCTTATGGTTATACATATTTTAGACAGTTGGCTAGTTTAGACATTAAAAATACTTAAGGTATATATTGAAGTGCTGTGAATTCACTACTAAGCTTCACTACTAAGTTTCAGTCATAAAATGTCACCAGTATCATTCCCTGAGCGCATCTGCCTCCATCAACCCCTAAAGGTAAATATGGTTGTGAACTTGGTGTTTATCTTTTGTTGGGTTTGATTTTCATTGTTGTTATTTTTGAAATTACACAGGTAATCCATGGAGCTCACAAATGTACTTCAAATAACCCATCCCCAACAGAATAAACCAGTGTTAGCAATGTGGTGATTAAAATGCATTTATACACATAGATATGTGCTGACAGAAATACGGCTTTTTTTTTTTTTTCCCCCAGAAGGTATGGTATGCATTGTTAAGTTTCTAGGAATCACTCTCCTACACAAACTCAGAAACACATAGCTACACAAGAAGATATGTGGAAGATATTTATGGGTACAGTCAACAGTTTCGAAATACAAATACTCTACTCAGAAATACAGAAATATGGAAAATGTATCAAGGATATTTGCAACTTATTGATTAAGTGAAAAATGTGAAAAGAACCTAAATGTACCATTAATAGGGGAATGTTATATAAAATGTAGTGAATTTAGAGTATAAACCAGTTCAAAGGGAATGAGATAGGCATCTGTATAGACACATCCTTGGCGGACATTGGCATTCCATTGCATCCCATCTGCAGTGCTTCCCACTTTTCAGCACAGAACAGTAAACATTTCTAGTTGGACTGTTCTAGTTATCTTCAGTAAACTAATGCTGCCTTTTGTGGGTCTTTAGTTGGTAAAGATTTTCAGTCTTTTTGTTGTCGTTGGAGTTTTTTGTTTTCTAGGAGTGTATAGACCTGTTGTCCTGTGACAGTTTTATTGGTGGTGATTGCCAAAACATGATTCTATTCTTAAACTTTCGTCTAGAGTTAAACATTGTAGTAGTTGAAAAACTAAATATGTTATTTCAGAGGGGAGGCAAATTGTACATTCTAGCAAATGAATGTGCAATTGAATCCTCCTCTAATATACCAGGCACAGAGAACATCAAAGGAGATGTGCTTAGTTTGCAAGTTTACTGGGGAGGTTGATAAGCGGCCAGATTACTTTGTAGTATGGGACAAGTGGAGGCAAGGGAGTGTAGATATTAACAGCTGCTGGAGCCTTGGAGCAAGTCTTTCTAGGACAGCATGTGTGTCATTGCTAAAAGTATGGATAGCCAGCAGGGCATGGTAATTGAAGCTCAGTTTTGAGATGTGGCTGCCTGTTTTCCATCTCGGTGGTGGTAACTGCTATGACATATGTCAGTATTGTGGAAGTGTCTGATAGGTATTGAGCTTAGGATAGGAGACCAAACGATATTTTCCAGGAGAAGGTGATACCTGAGGCCTCAAAATTAGAGAGGTATTTAGTTTGCTGTGTCGGCAGTGGGTGCAGGAGCTAGAGGGGAGCAATGCTAGGTCTGGAGTCTGGAGCAGTGGGGGTGAGGGAAGAAATGATTAAGTAATGTGCTTTGAGAAATTGTCAGAGGCCAGGTTTTATAGGGCATGCCGAAATTGGATGTTTTCAGTGACCCGAAGACCTGGATGCCTGGGAAGTGAACAAGCCTTCAGCTGCCTTTGCTATGGGCATATAATTTCCAGGTACTGCGTTGCCTAACATCCCTTTCAAGTAGACTGCCCTTTCTGTTAAATAAATCCCTTCCTTACTTATGAGGAAATTCTGGAGCTGTCTCTGTACTTGTCTGTCCATGAGCAAATAGTGGAGGCAAAACTAATAAATTCCAACTAGTGTCATGGATTGTGGGGTGACGACTCACTAATGGGTGTTAGCTGGGGAGAATTTTGTGTTAGAAGGGGAATCTCAGCTTGGGTGTGATATGCTCACATTTCCTCTGTTTGGGTAGGGCTTTGGCATTTATAGGGCACTGCTTTCATAGCTGGCATTAGATGCTCTCTTGACACTACTGGTAGATGTCACATAGGTTGATACAGGTTAAAAGATGACACAGGCCTGAGGTGATCTAGGACTGAAATGGAAACTGCGATGCCAGAGCCCACACCTTCTAAGTGATCCTGTCACTATCCAGCTCTCCTCTTTTGTTTTTTCTTTCCTGATGTCAACCTGCCTGGTCACAGGTATTAAATAAGTGACTCAGATGCTTTGGTCACCTGGACTAGTCAGCTTGGACTGTGCAAAGGGTTAAAGAGTCAGTAATTATAATGAGGTCTTGAAACTGTTGAGTCACTTGTGACAGGGATGCCTGTTTTGGGGCCTTGTATAACAGGGATAAGAGTTAAGTTTTCTGAGTCTCTAATCTTTTGGACCCCTAGAGTAAAATAGAAGTGAGCTTTAGATCCACACTTGGATTGGAATCCTGGCCCCCTCACCCTCTTCCTCAATTTCTAGTTTTGTCCATTGACCAAGTTATATAAAAGATGTCAGTTTTTTCGTCCTTCATATGGTGATAATAATGCTTAATAGTAGTATTCTTGGGAATAAGCAAAATAATATATACACACACACACACACACATATATACACATACATACATATGTAAAGTACTTAGCCTAGTGTCTGATACCTATTAGGTGATCAGGAAGTTATATGGTTTTTCTCATCTTTCCCTCCTTCCCAGTGTTGGGAACCTCCCCCCGACCCCTGCTCTCCCATTTTTTTCTCATTGCTTCCTCATGGTAACTGAAAGGCCTCCGTATTGTAATGTGCTGTGGATCGCATGGTGTTATTTGATTCAGTCCTAGTTTGCAGTGTACTGCCCTGTGCACCTCTAGAAGATGCAGTGATGGTAAATATAGAGCTTCCCTTTACCCTTTCAGGTTTTGTGCCATGTGTCTTATCTCCTGGCTTCTGAACTCAGGGACTTTTCTGTTAATGTTACTGTAGGTTCTGGGTTTTTCCTTGCCCCCCTCAGAGCAAAGATAGGTAGTTTTCAAGCAGAAGAGTAGAGTGGACAGTCCACCTCTTGGTGTAGAGTCCATCCATTTGAGGTCTTTTTGCTTCAGAGTATCTTCCCCTCTACCAGCATACCCCTCAGTTGCTTTTTCACCATTAGAGGAAGATGAGGATATTGCTTTCTCTGTGCTTGAGGTTGATACTCTATCACCCCTCAGTCTCTGTGGTTTCTGGTTTGTTCCTTTAGATGTCATCTACCTGCTTAGATTGCTGCTCCCTACGGGATGTTTGGAATGAAGAAAGGAAGGGAGATGTGTGGAGGCCGATAGCAGTCTTTATTAGGTTGGGTGTTCTCATTAGCATCAGAGCGCCCTTTTTGTTTACTTGTTTCTGTTAAGTCTACCACTTCTGGATCTCACTGCAGATTATAAGGCAAGGCCTCTGGATTGAGGTTAATGTGTATAAATTTTTACAAACCACCCCAGGTGAATCTCATTTGCTCCTATTAGTGAGAACCGCTGATTGGATAATTGCAACCAGTTTGCGTTCTTCCTCTTTGGGTAAGATGCTTTGTTTTTGTTTTGTTTTGTTTTGTTTTTTGGAGACAGAGTCTCACTGTGACACCCAGGCTGGAGTACAGTGGCAAATCATGGCTCACTGCAGCCTTGACTTCCTAGGCTCAAATGATCCTCCCACCTGAGTCTTCTGAGTAGCTGGGACCACAGGCACGCACCATCATGCCCAGCTAATTTAAACATTTTCTTGAAGAGATGGGGTTTGCATATTGTCCAGGCTGATCTCGAACTCCTGGGCTCAAGCAATCTTCCTGCCTAGGCTTCCCAAAGTGTTGGGATTATAGGTGTGAGCCACTGTGTCCAGCTTGGTTGGTTTTTTTTTTTTTTTTTGGAGACCAAGTCTCTGTCTCTAGGCTGGAGTATAGTGGCGCGATCTTGGCTCACTGTGTCCTTTGCCTCCTGGGTTCAAGCAATCCTCCTGCCTCAGTCTCCCGAGTAGCTGAGACTACAGGTGTGTGCAGCCACAGCCAGCTAATTTTTGTGTTTTCAGTAAGACAGGGTTTCACCATGTGGTCCAGGATGCTCTGGATCTCCTGACCTCTGATCTGCCTGCCTTGGCCTCCCAAAGTGCTGGGATTACAGGCATGAGCCGCCATGCCCAGCCTGCTTGGTTTGGTATTGTTCTGTGTTTTGTTTTTTTCTTGTTGAGAGGGGAATGATACTTAATAGATAAGACTTAGTGGATTCATATCTATCTGGTTTCAAATCATACTATGTTAACTAGGTGTGAGAGTTAAATACTTAAGAGCCTCAGTTCAGCCTCATTTGAATGAAGGGGACAGTAATATCCATGTTCAGAGTTTCTGTCAAGAGTTTGTCCATAGAAATCACCTGCTCTGTAGCATCATGTAAACATTCAGGAAATGGTAGCTATTGGGGATTTTGAGAATGGTAGCAATAATATTACTTGGAATGTAAAAGTATAAATGTGAATTTGAAGATTTTGGTCTTATATTATCAGCATTACTATCTGTAAATGTTTTACTGTGAGAATTTTTTTTTTTTAAAAAGCAGATTCGTGTGGCAGTTCTTAAATATTTTTAAATCTCTCTCTCTCTCTCTCAAAATAAGTCACTCAGCCTCTGAAGAAGCTTCGGGTTCAGACTCAGGCAGTCAGTCGGAAAGTGAGCAGGGAAGTGATCCAGGAAGTGGACATGGCAGCGAGTCGAATAGCAGTTCTGAATCTTCTGAGAGTCAGTCGGAATCTGAGAGCGAATCAGCAGGTTCTAAATCCCAGCCAGTCCTCCCAGAAGCCAAAGAGAAGCCAGCCTCTAAGAAGGAACGGATAGCTGATGTGAAGAAGGTATCTACTTTGCCCTACAGTACAAATGTGTTGCTAGCCTAGGACAAGCTAGCAGACCTTTATTGCTTATGAAAACTCATTAGTGTATCTTGATAATGAAACCTACAGCCATTTTTTCTAGTAATATATGGTAGGATATCTGAGGATACAAATGAAGACTTCTTTCTGCTCTATTAAGGAAAATAAATTATCTGAACCATCCAATTATAGGGAGGAGAGACAAATTTTTATATGCTTGGTTTTTAACTTTATTTATTTATTTTTGAGACAGAATCTTGCTCTATTGCCCAGCCTGGAGTACAGTGGCACGATCTTGGCTCACTGCAACCTCCGCCTCCCAGGTTCAAGTGATTTCCTGCCTCAGCCACCCAAGTAGTTGAGATTACAGGTGTCCGCCACCACGCCTGGCTAATTTTTGTATTTTTAGCAGAGACTGGGTTTCACCATGTTGGCCAGTCTGGTCTTGAACTTCTGACCTCAGGTGATCCACCTGCCTCGGCCTCCCAAAGTGCTGGGATTATGGACCTGAGCTGCCACACCCAGCTTAAAATATACTTTTAAGTTTAAAGTGAGCAGTTCCAAAGTTAATAATGTGTAGTTACAGATTGGATGGACCTACAAGCCAGTCAGAATGATTGGAGTATGCCTTTGATAATCATTATCCTAAAATGAGAACTTCTAAGGAAGGCTCTTGGTTTTCTGTGTACACATGCTTTTCACATGTTAGCTCCCTGCCCTCCTCCAAAAGCTTATTACTCATGTAAGAGTACTCAGTAGTGAGTAACTCCACATGGTAGATTTTTCATGGAAGAGTTGACTTAGATATCAGCTCTCAAAAGGGCAAATAAGAGCACAAGATAATTTTAGGATGTAAATATTACAATATATGCTGTAATAAAGTCACAGTAGTTGAGCTAGAATGCCTGTCTGATGTCTTGGAGTGATAAAACTGGTTGATGTAGTAACACTGAAAGGATTTAGCCCTCCCGGTTAATAAGGGCTCCATGAAAACCCATGTTGAGTAAAACTTTCATAGCTCTAGCAGAGGTCCAGGGGTGGGCCTGGGTAGACAGGCTAGAGTAAAGCGCTCTTTCCCTCCTTCCTTTCTCTGCCAGATTTTTTCAGAGTGTTTTATGTTTACTGCCTCTTCCTGTATTTCCCACCACTTGGTTATTCCTAACTCCTTCTGGTTGGACCTTTTGTCCTTTAACTCCAAGGTGATGCTAAGGCCATTATAGAATCTGTGGACTTGGGATTACTTGATTACATTGGATTCTAGTTGTAAAATGCCTATTCCTGGGCCATATTCTTTTCTTTTGAAGCCTTGATTTTCTTCAGCTTACTTCATCATTTTTATGTTGTTGTTGTTGTTGTTAAAGTCATTGTTGATAATGTCCTTTCTTAGTGACATTTGGATCATTTTTCATAAAGATGGGACAGGGTCTTGCTCTGTCACCCAGGCTGGAGTACAGTGGTCAATCACAGCTCACTGCAGCCTCGATCTCCTGGGTTCAAGTGATCCTCCCACCTCAGCCTCCCAAGTAGCTGGGACTACAGGCACGTACTGACACACCTCGCTAATTTTAAAAATTTTTTGTAGAGACAGAATCTCCCTATGTAGCCCAGGCAGGTCCTGAGCTCCTGGACTCAAGTCATCCTTCCGTCTAGACCTCCCAGGGTGCTGGGATTACATGCCTGGCCCTACCCTTTTAAATGCAAACATTTCACAAGTCTCAGTTAGTGACTTCTTTTGTGCATGTTCTGAGCCTTACTTTTCCAAATATTCTCATGATGTTAGCTGTCACCTGTGATTTGATAACCCATATTTCTCATCTCGGCTTTTACTACTTGCTTAATTTCTGTTATACCTTTTCATGTCAGTGTTCCGCAATCCATTCAAATTCCTTTTGCTGCTATGTGATTCTGTTAAAAGAATACAGAATATACTTAGTAGTAGTTATCTCCGGGTAAGAAAGTGAAAATGATTTTTCTCCTCAACTAATCTGTCCTTTAAATTTTTTAAATCACTGGTGAGGATTGTTGCAGATCTTAAAGGTTGTTACAGGTCTACAAAAATCAGGTCTTAAAGGCAAAGGACTAATTACTGCTACAGAATAAAAATAGATATATTAGAGAAAGGGTGGCAGTGGTTCTCATTCTGAGAACTTCTAGCTAAGTGTTAGCAATGCCTCATCTGCATTTATCTGGGATGTTACATGACTGAGGAACGTAAAGAAAAATAAAAATTACTGATTCTAATTAAATAATTAGACTTAATGGGGGCTTTGCTTCTTGTATTTTCAGTTTCACAGGTGGGTTAGTGCAGTCAAGACTGAAACTCAAAGCAGTAGGGAATTTAAAATTTATCAGTAAATACTTTGTCTTTAGTGGAAGCAGCTGCTGTCTCACTTTGCCGTATTATTCAGCTGTATGTTTATATTTTAATGATGGGTAAGCGGTATACCATGTAGATTTATAGCTATTAAGTAATGAAGACATTGTTAAACTAATATTTCCTAGAATAATATGCCTATTTTCAAAATAAATAAAACTAGCAAAACAACCCTTTTGATATTTGGTTACTTGAATTCTTTTCCATTGCAATAAATGTTTGATAATAATAATGGGGGTCAAGAAAAAAGATGAATGTGTGGTCTCTTAATTTTACAGATGTGGGAAGAATATCCTGATGTTTATGGGGTCAGGCGGTCAAATCGAAGCAGACAAGAACCATCACGATTTAATATTAAGGAAGAGGTAAGGAAAAAATGTTTTAAGGGCATGCATTTAAACTCCCTATCTTCATTCTTTCTGACTAATGGTATGTATTACCATTAAAAAGACTGAACTTCAGGCATGGGGGTTAAGTGACTCTAATATGAGCTATCTATGAACAGATACAGTAAGGCAAGAAGTTAATAATCAAATTAAAGAATCTAACCAGAAAGATATTTAATAGTGATTTTTTTAGTAGAGTATTATACAGAATTGACCTCAAAATTATTTATTTTTTAGGTTGTTTCTCATAATGAAAATTGATTATATAGCGAGAAGTTTACTTTTTTAAGCCCCTAACTTTCTAAGTCTCCTAGATTTTTATTAAATGGGTAACTTGTTTGGTAAACAAACAGCAATAGAAATAGTTTTGGATTTATTCTTGAAAGAGGAGGGAGTGCTTAATTAATGTATCTACTTTTATTTAACTTATTAAATTTGGTTTCCTTGCTCATTTTTAGTGTGAGATATAGTGAGTTTCAAACATACTTAATTGTGAGAGATTGAATAGATTGGTGATTTTAAAATTGGTATTCTATACCAGGCTTGGTTGTCTATAGAATCAGACTTCTTTCACCTTTCTCATTTTGTGTGATGTTTTTGTGGATTCTTATTCTGAATTAGATTTATAGACTAGATCCTGAAGGAGAGATTCTTTTGTCTCAATGAAATGTCCCCTTTCTGCTTTCTTAGGAAGACTTTGCTAGTCTTAGCTATATAACGAACTTCTGATGAAAGTTAAATATTGATAGCCACAGGTCAGTGAGTTGGGTGTAGGTTTTTAAATAAATGTACCTTAAAAATCTAATTTATCCTAACATCTGCATTACATTTGTGGTTTTATTTTGAGTGATCTCTGAGCTGGTTTGCCTTTGCTTTTGTTTCCCATAGTGTCTAGCACTAGGTTACTGAGCCATGTTTGTTGAAACCAATCACACAGTTGTAGAAATCTTTTCCTCTTTTATGTATTAATTAACACATTCTCTGTAGGGTACAAGATTAACAGCAATAGGAGTAGTTTGCTATTTTCCCTAATTTTGGAGAGAAAGAGCTATTGAAATGTCTGTGACTGTAAACTTTCCTTGGTCTAGTGCTGTTAGCAGAGCACTGTTGGCTCGTGAGTGAACATACTCTTAAATAAGTCTAAAATGAATACTTCAGTAGTTTGTGCCTTTAAGGCACACTGACTAAATGTTGTGGCATTTTTATTTGATATTCTAAATCTGCAGTATCCAGTATGGTCCCCACTACTCACATGTGGCTTTTAAAATTCACATTAGTTAAAAATTCCATTTCTCAGTCACATTAGTCACATTTTAAGTGCTCAGTAGTCACATGTGGCTGACGGGTACTGTATTGGACATTGTAGATATGGGACATTTACGTCGTTACAGAAAGTTATTGGATATTGCTGTTCTAAAAGTCAAGCTGAGATAAATATTTCCTGACTTTAGAGATAAGTCAGTAATAGCAGAAAGATATTAATTTTCAAATCAAAAGAAGAGGGAGTTCTACCAAGCAAGTGCTTAGGTTTCTTTCTGTCTAAAAGCTCATATTGAATAATGGTATATTGAGTAGATTGTTGATCCAGGAGATAGTGTTGTCCCTAAGAACTGTGAATTAAAGTCTGTAATCATTTTTCCCCCCTCACACACTGAAGGCAAGTAGCGGGTCTGAGAGTGGGAGCCCAAAAAGAAGAGGCCAGAGGCAGCTGAAAAAACAGTAAGTCTTTCATGGGGGAAATTATTCAATCTAGTAGTTTCAAACTTGTCAGCATTTCTAGGACTGCCTTCATTGTGTCTTTAGTCTACTCCAGGTCCTTTAGTCTGCTTCCGTCTCTCTTACTAGCTTGGGTGACTATCTACCCTGACCTGTTGCAATAGCAGCAGCAGCATTGGAAACCCAGAATTCTCAGTTTAACACATGGAAGGAGTCCACGTATACTTGGGCTGTTGTTTGGGATCAATCTCAGCTTCTTCCATCGGATTAACCCAATTAGCCCATTGATTTTTTTCAGACAAATATGTATAAATAACAAGTACCGGAGGTATTTGGTATTGTAGTAAGCAAGGAACAAATGTAGATTTGCCATTTTTATGGCAGAATTATATTGGCTGAACATCCATTTTGGTAAGAAATTACATGTTGTTGTTTCTGTATAATTTTAATATTGTGGTTCATAAGCCAGAAAAATTTAATTGTGGACCTAATGTGAAGTTTCTTTATAACATAGATTTATATGTTCATTATGTTTTAATTTAAAAAGTTCTTATTTATATGATGAAATTATTTGATTTTTTTTGAGAAATAATTTTTAAAGTCATTTTTTGGAGAAGGTGTGAATCCTGTTGACAATCTGAGTTCTATAGCTTCTCTCGAAAATGTAGGTATTCAAAACTTTGTATACGAGTTCAGGGGTTCTCATGTTAAACAACTGTCCATGGCTTCTATTAAGAGCTCTAGGTACATATTCTGTGTTGGAAAATATTATTAATCTTTAGTAAGTGGCCTAAGGCAAGTCATTTGAGATTTTAAAACCCATTTCCTCATCTCCAAAAAAAAGTAATACTATCTCCCCAACAGGATTATTAGAAACTATGCTAAGATTTTGTGACATTAAATAAATGTAGGGTATTACAGAGCCTTACCGAAAAGTCAAGTACTTAATATTGCCCTGCTAGAGTGCATTCAGTTTTCATTTGTGTTTTGGAGAAATGGTAACTGTAAGCAAACTGCACTTGTCATCTTAGAAGGCTTTTGTTCTATCCCAGTCTCATGGTCTGGTTGGGAGACTATTATCTGCTTACTGGTCTCATGGCCTTTTGAGTATCTTTCCTGAAATGTCCACCTTGATTACACCCTGGGAAATCCACACATGTAATCATTACTTCACTATCTGGCTACATTCCTTTGGTCTCTTGACTGCAAGTTAAATGGTGCTGTGCTTGAATTCTTGACTTCCTATTTTAATGGCCTTATTTGTGTGTGCAGAAGCCAGCGTTTTTTTCAGTCACTGTATAATACATTGCACTTACTCTGGTTACTGGCTCATATTCTTGTCAGCCTTTTTTGGAGACAGGGTCTCACTCTGTTGCTCAGGCTGGAGTGCAGTGGCTTGATCTCAGCTCACTGCACCCTCGGCCTCCTGGACTTAATTGACCCACCTAAGCCACCCGAGTAACTGGGACTACAGGCATGTGCTATCATGCCCAGCTAAGTTTTTAAAAATTTATTGTAGAGATGGGGTCTCAGCTATGTTTCTCAGGCTGGTTTCAAACTCCTGAGCTCAAACAGTCCTCCAGCCTTGGTCTCCTGGGATTACAGGTGTGAGCCACTGTGCCCCACCACTTAACAGTCTTAAGAATTCCCCAAAGTTGGCAACCTTCAGTAGCATGTATGGACCTTTCTTTTCCTGAGTAGAACTTCTTAGTTCCTTGCAGAGTGGGATCTGTCTTCTTTCTCATACTGCTTCGCTACCCTAGGGCTCTTCCATAGGAACTGCCTTGGGCTGAGGTAGGAAGTTCCCCTCATGTTCGTGTGTTTGAACACTGGGCTAGTCTTCCTTTCTGCTATTCTCTGGCCAGCTGGTGAGTATTGTGGATTTACAGAGAGCTCTTCCCCTGAGTCACCAGTTGAGATTCCTGAAAGATTAATTAGAGGAGGTCTTGTAGCTGCTAACACTCAAGTTGCAAGGCACAGCACTTTAGGAGGCTTCTGTGATCCAAGCTGAGCAAGTGTAACATAACCTAATGTGTGGGCCCATGCATTTCAGAATTGAGAGAGACTCACTGAGAGAGTGAAAGGTTTGAAATATTGGCACAAAGAAACGCTTTTCTGAAACCTTTCAGATTTTATTCACACATTTTAGAGTTTTTAAGAAGGGACAATTTTGTAAAATTGGTTTAAAAAAATTAATTCCAGGCCGGGCGTGGTGGCTCAAGCCTGTAATCCCAGCACTTTGGGAGGCCGAGACGGGCGGATCACGAGGTCAGGAGATCGAGACCATCCTGGCGAACACGGTGAAACCCTGTCTCTACTAAAAAAAAAATACAAAAAACTAGCCGGGCGAGGTAGCGGGCGCCTGTAGTCCCAGCTACTCAGGAGGCTGAGGCAGGAGAATGGCATAAACCTCGGAGGCGGAGCTTGCAGTGAGCTGAGATCTGGCCACTGCACTCCAGCCTGGGCGACAGAGCGAGACTCCGTCTCAAAAAAAAAAAAAAAAAAAATCCAAACTTTAGGAAAGTTGCAAGAATGAAAGTGCAGTACAAAGGACACCTTATATACTTTACCCAGATTTTTTTTTTTTGCTTAATTTTTGCTTCATTTGCTTTATTGTTGTGGGTGCTATTTATTTAAGAGAGAGGGTCTTGCTCTGTCGCCTAGGCTGAGTGCAGTGGTGCAGTCTTGGCTCTCTGCAGCCTCAATCTCCTGAGCTTAAGTGATCCTTCTACTTCAGCCTCCCAAGTAGCTGGTACAACAGGCGTGGGCCACCATGCCTGATTTTTGTATTTTTGTAGACATAGAGGTCTCACTGTGTTGCCCTGGCTAGTCTCAAAGTCCTGGCCTCAAGTTGTCCTCTGACCTTGCTCTCCCAAAGTGTTGAGATTAGCAGACGTGAGCCACTGCACCCAGCCTGTGTATGTTTGTATATATACACACATAATGTTTTTTATTAACTATTTGAGACTAAAATTCATAGAATTTTACCTTCTACCCCTTTCCCTTAAATATGTAAGGTATATTTCTTAAAAGTAAGAAAATTCTCTTTTATAAGCACAGTACAGTACAGTTTCAACTTAGGTTTAAAACATTGCTGATGTACTTTTTTTTTTTTTTTTGAGACAGAGTCTGGCTCTGTCGCCAGGCTGGAGTACAGTGGCGTGATCTCAGCTCACTGCAACCTCTGCCTCCTGGGTTCATGCCATTCTCCTGCCTCAGCCTCCCGAGTAGCTGGGACTATAGGCATGTGCCACCACGTCCAGCTAATTTTTTGTATTTTTCATAGAGATAGGGTTTCACCATGTCGGCCAGGGTGGTCTCGATCTCTTGACCTTGTGATCAGCCTGCCTTGGCCTCCCAAAGTGCTGGGATTGCAGGCTCGAGAAACTGTACCCGGTTACTGATACACTTTTGTCTAATTCATATTCCAGTTTTGTCAGTTAACCCAGTAAAGTCTTTCATAATATTTTTCCATCTCCACTACAGGATTTAGTTTAGGGTCAGTTACTGCAATTAGTTGCATGTCTGGTCTCTTCTTTTTTTTTTTTTTTAATTATTATTATACTTTTAAGTTCTAGGGTGCATATACATGGAGTCCAGGTTTGCTACATATGTATACATGTGCCATGTTGGTGTGCTGCACCCATTAACTCGTCATTTACATTAGGTATATCTCCTAATGCTATCCTTCCCTGCTCCTCCTACCCCACGACAGGCCCCGGTGTGTGATGTTCCCCACCCCGTGTCCAGCTGTTCTCATTGTTCAATTCCCACCTATGAGTGAGAGCATGCGGTGTTTGGTTTTCTGTTCGTGCGATAGTTTGCTGAGAATGATGGTTTCCAGCTTCATCCATGACCTTGCAAAGGACATGTCTGGTTTCTTTAATTGGGAGCACTTTCACAGCCTTCTTTTGCTTTTAGGACATTGATGTTTTTGAAGAATGCCGTCTTGCAAGGGGCTGTGTTCTTTGGAGAATTATAAAGAGACCAGTTACCCCGTCATGATGTGTATTAGGTTTTTTTGTTTTGGGATGGACTTTCACTCTGTCGCCCAGGCTGGAGTGCAGTGGCACAATCTCAGCTCACTGCAACCTCTGCCTCCTGTACTCAAGTGATTCTCCTGCCTCAGCCTCCTGAGTAGCTAGGATTACAGGCATGCACCACTGTGCCCAGCTGATTTTTGTATTTTTAGTAGAGATAGGGTTTTACCATGTTGGCCAGGCTGGTCTTGAACTCCTGACCTCAGGTGATCCACCTGCCTCGGCCTCCCTAAGTGCTGGGATTACAAGGTGAGCCACTGCACCCAGCCCTTTTTTTTTTTTTTTTTTCCAATTAAACAGACAGGGTCTTACTCTATTGGTGCAGATGTGTAGTCATAGCTCACTGCAACCTTGAACTACTGGGCTCAAGTGATCCTCTTGCTTCAGTCTCCCCAGTAGTTGGGACTACAGGCATGTACCACCATATCCAGCTGTATTCATATTTTTAAAGCTTGGAAGAAGTTATATGGCACAATGTACCTGCACAATATTTAAAATGTTAAAAAAATAGTTGGCATCGTTTAATTGAGAGACGGTGCATAACAATCTGTGTTTTTAGCTTCTTTTGAGAAAATTTGGTAATGCTGGCTCATGTAACAGTGACGGACCAAGACTTCTCCATTTTGTTCTCATCTGGCCCCTGTGAGTATCTTGAGATTGTATCTCTGACTTAGAGTCATACAAACAAAACATTTAATTTTATTTAACCAACTCATGCTGTTTTGATTGAACTCTTTTTCGTGCATTACCTGTTAATGTTACCCAAATTTGCTCAATGTTGTATAAGATTTTTGTTGACTCCTGGTCCTGGTGGTTTTGTTTTGTTGTTGTTTTTGAGACAGCATTTTATTCTTACTAGGTGGGAGTGCAGTGCAGTGGCACATTCACAGCTCCCTGCAGCTTTGACCTCCTGGGCTCAAGTGATTCTCCCACCTTAATCTCCTGAGTAGTTGGGACTAGTAGGCGCATACCACCACACAAGGCTAATTTGTTAATTTTTTGTAAAGACTGGGTCTCACTCTGATGTCCAGGCTGGTCTTGAACTCCTTGGTTCAAGCCATCCTCCCACCATGGTCTTCCAAAGTGCTGGGATTACAGGCTTGAGCCCCTGTGCCTGGCCCTTTTCCAGTGTTTTGAATTGGAGATTGTCACGTATCTGTAACACAGTGGAAGGGAATCACTGTTAGCGTCAGATTTCCTATGATCATTGGAATTTTTATGAAAGGCATCCTTTCTTGGGGAAATCTACTGAAGATTGAAGAAACAAAAGTAGCTACTTCCCTCTTTTCCAGATGTCTTCTAAGTGGAGGAAAAAGGAGTTTTCTTTTTTACAGACAGTTAATAGCAAACCTTACCAACTCTTGGTCAAAGTTCTGGCTCATTATATTTAAAAGTAGCTTTTGTTCATTTCCTACTTTATAGTTGATTAGAGTTGATTTGTCTATCTTAGGATTTGTGTCTAGCCAACCACCTTTTTCCAATAAAGGAAGAAAATTACATACATTTAAGTTGCATTTTGACTTTTTCCATGTCTGTTTACATTGCCTTGCGGCCTTTTGGCTAAATCTTGGTATTTTTCTCCCCAATTCTCAAAATTTTGGGAAAAATTTAGTTGAATTTTGTGTTTTTACGATATCTAGGGGATTCTGTTAATGGCCTTTTAAGCTGGATATTATGTTTCCTTTGGTACACATTTGTGTGTGTGTGTGTGTCTGTATTCTTTTTTTTTATTATTATACTTGAAGTTGTAGGGTACATGTGCACAACGTGCAGGTTCGTTACATATGTATACACGTGCCATGTTGGTGTGCTGCACCCGTTAACTCGTCATTTACATTAGGTGTATCTCCTAATGCTATCCCTCCCCCTCCCACCACCCCACGACAGGCCCCGGTGTGTGATGTTCCCCTTCCTGTGTCCAAGTGTTCTCATTGTTCAATTTCCACCTATGAGTGAGAACATGTGGTGTTTGGTTTTTTGTCCTTGTGATAGTTTGCTGAGAATGATGGTTTCCAGCTTCATCCATGTCCCTACAAAGGACATGAACTCATCCTTTTTTACGGCTGCATAGTATTCCATGGTGTATATGTGCCACATTTTCTTAATCCAATCTATCATTGATGGACATTTGGGTTGGTTCCAAGTCACATTTTTTTGCTCACGATCTCGTATCTTAAACTATCCTTTATTGTAGCCTGACTTACAATGTATGGCTTAGTGGTGGAGTCTTGATAAGATTTGTATTTTATAAGAGGCCAGTAATGTAGGAGAGGACAGCAGTTTCACATGTGGGAGAGCCGTATACATCTGTAGGGATGGGAAGTAATTTCTTTGTAACCTGCTCAGTCACTTTTTTCACTTCACCCATTCTTCACAGTGACTTAGTATTGCTGGTCCTTACTATCTTTTTTCTTGTTCTTGTAAATTAAAAGGAAACTTGAAAGAATCCAACCAGTTTCAAATATACATACACACACACTTAGGCCTTTTAAACGCTGAGTTTTTCAGATACTCCTAGGATGTGTAAGCCTGGCTTTAATGTTTTCTGCTTCTTTGGTCCTCAGTGAGTTATGATTGAGAGTAGCAGGGCTAAGGGTTGGTGATATGGCCAAGCAACTCATTTCCTCACTACACTTCAGTTTTCTTCTCTGGGAGGAGAGCTTTAGACTAGTTGATTTGCTAAGTTTTTTTTTTTTTGCATTCTTATATTGGGAGATTCTAAGTCTCCCGATTGTTCATAAGTCTAAATCTGTAATCTAACTGGAAAACTCTAGCCTCAACGCATCAATTCTCTGTTTGCTGTCTCCCATACTTGTAGAAGTGGACCTCATTGGTAGCCCTGGTTTAGGTTCTCAATTCCTGGGGGAGATACGGTAATTAGAATTTATTGGTGACTGTGGATCTTTCTTATCTGAAGGAATAGCTGTTCATATTCTTTCAAGCATGCTTCTACTTGTCTCCAGTGTGACTGTGTAAGCACCCTCTGATGGGTAAACTGTTGTGGACTTAGTCTAAGGGAGACTGCAGACTCATGTGCTGGTCTCCCACTTACTATAAACATCTTCCTTTCTTCCTTCCTGGTGATCACCTTATATTCCTTGGATTCTTAGCAAACATTTATTGTACTATGCTCCAGGGAAGCAGAATTAGACCAGTGTCCAGAGTGTATATACGAAGGTCTTTGTTTTAAAGAGACTTAAGGATATTAGGCAATACTAACAGGCCTTTCTGTCTTACCAGTAGCACCCCTACCTGTCTGACTGATTGATTGTGCATTCTTTAATTAATTTTTTTTTTTTATCCTAACAAAGAAACATCTCCATTTGCCTGACTTTGGCTAATCTCTGGTACAAGGTCGGAACAAAAAGTCTTGGTGTACAAGGAGCCATCTGCTGGAGAAATGCATATGAAAACACGCAGTGCTAGTAGAAGTTGAGTAATATTCATAAAAGCGCTCCACTGACTGTCCATGGAAGGCCTGAATTGTTGTTTTTTCCCCCAAGGTCTCTACCAATTCAGGTATAGGGTGACTGTTGTAGCTTTTAGGAAGGTTCTCAATCTGCAGATTAGCCACCTCCTTTTAGTAAGCTTTCACTGTTACTTTGACCTGTTCTCCCATGAAGAATATTGATTTGACTTTGCAGTTCTGTAGCTATTGTCTTTAGTATGACCTCATTCCCTATAAAGTGACCCATAGACAAATTGGTATTGTTTTATTTACAGAGAAACCTCAGGCACTTGCCTGTCAGTTTTTTTCCTAGGTATTTCATGCCCAGCAGCTGTTTACGTTTCTTTTTTCTTTTTTTTTTTTTTTTTTTTCCACAGCAGAGACAAGTGAACATTTATTTGTATGCCTTTCTTCCGATGTGTATTTCAAGTCTTTTTCAAAACAAGGCCCTAGGACTCTCCAGATTCAATTATGTCCTTGGGCTTGGTCAACTGCTGCAGGAGTCTTAGGGAGCCTTGTACAAATGCTAGAGTGACACATTTACCAACATTAAATCCTAAGATAGATGCAACAAAGCAGGACTCCTTCCTCCACAGAATGTGCTGATTTCAGACGATGCAGTACCCAATGTAGAAAACACTGGAATTTTTCTTTGGAACTGGAGTGTGATGAGAGATGCTTGCCATGAACATAAGCTACTGTCTTTTCTTTTCTTTGAGACAGAGTTTCGCTTGTTGCCCAGGCTAGAGTGCAAGGGCGTGATCTCGGCTCACTGCAACCTCCGCCTGGCAAGTCTTCTGCCTCAGCCTCCTGAGTAGCTGGGATTACAGGCATATGCCACCATGCCCGGCTAATTTTTGTATTTTTACTAGAGACGGCATTTCTCCATGTTGGTCGGGCTGGTCTCGAACCCCCAACCTCAGGTGATCTGCCCGCCTCAGCCTCCCAAAGTGTTGGGATTACAGGCGTGAGCCATCACACCTGGCCAGCTACTGTCTTTTCTTTGACCCTTCCTTTCCAGTTTTTGAAGATAAAGCAGGAAATAATCTTCTCTGAAGATACTTGATAAAAATTCCCAAAACAATTAAACACATGCTTCCACTTCATTGATAAAAATTTACCGCAGTTTGACACCTGGGTCTAGTTCAGCTCGCTTCGGCAGCACATATACGTTTCTTTCCTCTTCCCTGCAGGTGAGAAATGAGTGAGGTCCCTGCAATATCTTGTTTGATTTTCAAGTAAACTAAAACTGTTTGGGATAGTAGGACACCCGTAGGTTATGGCTCTTTCAAGCCTTCTAAGATCTCAAGGAGCAAAGGAACATCTACTGTATCTAATAATTAATAAAAACTACATCTGTAGCTGAACAGATTAGTTATATGATAGGTTTATTGTTGAAAAATAATTTTAGGGACTGTTTCCTTAAATGTATTCTAAAGACTTACAATATCCAGTATAGTGGTTCTCAGAGTTTCTACCCGGTACCAACATTATTTGAATTTGTTGAAATTCATATTTTTTAGGCCTCACCTGAGACCTACCGCATCAGAAACTCTAAGGCCCAGAAATTTTTTTTGTGGGGGAGGGGCAAATGGGGGCAGGGTTTCGCTTTTATCACCTAGGCTGGAGTACAGTGGCAAAATCACAGCTCACTGCAACCTCAAACTCCTGGGTTCAAGTGATCCTTCTGCCTCCTTAGCCTCCTTAGTAACTAGGACTGTAGACATATTCCATCAGGCCTGTCTCAATTTTAAAATTTTAACTTTAATTTTTGTAGAGAGGTGTCTTGTGTTGCTCAGATTGGTCTCGAACTCCTGGACTCAAGTGATCCTCCCTTGGCCTCCCAAAGTGCTAGGATTACAGGCATGAACCATCTCACTTGGCCCAGAAATCTTTTTTAACAAGCCCTTTAGGTGGTTCTGATACATTCTAAAGTTTTGGAACCACTGATCTTGTGCATGTTGTGGTTTCAGTCTTGTCAGTAATAGCAGTAAATTAAAAAAAAATACATATATATCCATTTTTATTTATTTTTGTTACTGGAGATAAAATAGGAATAGATATTACGTAGTCCAGGAAGGATCACAATTCAAGTTTAAACGGAGCTAGAATCTCTTTTAGCATATCTAAAATATGCATGTTCTGCCCTTTGGATAGTAACATTGAAATTGGTTTTGTTGGATCATTTATCTTGAAGGATTCTTTTAGAAAATAATTATTTTGTTTTGCTTTGATCGCAGAGAAAAATGGAAACGGGAACCCTCAGAAGATGAACAGGAGCAAGGCACCAGTGCAGAGAGTGAGCCAGAGCAAAAGAAAGTAAAAGCCAGAAGACCTGTGCCCAGAAGGTGCACTGTTTGCTTAAAATCTCTACTTCTGGATGAGCTTAATCTGCCATAGATTGGGAAGGATGATGTCGTGCTAGAATGAGAGCTTTAATGAGATACACTGTGTTTTGATTCTGGGTTTTAGATGTCTGTGGTTCACTTTCAGCCAGCCTACACTGCAGGTCTTACTGATTCTTTCTTCACAGACTAGCTATCATGGGGCAAACGTGTCTTCTGCTTTTAGTAAAACTCCTTATATGTGTGGCCAGGGTACAGTCTCTTTTTGGGAGAACAAATTGTTTAAAACACTGTTTGCCTGGCTTAAAGCATACTTGAGTGGTTTATTACCTTGTTCATAAAATCTATATAACATTAAACAAAGAATCTGATTGTGTAGAGAAGGAGGTAGGCTGAAATAGCAGCAAATTATGCTAATTTTCGATAAGACAGATGGCAGCCTAAGATAGTGATGACAGGAAAAGGGAGTCAGAAGACAGACAGGCCCCAAGAAAAATTACCTTCTTATAGTATTGCTTAGAATGGGCTCAGCAAACTATGCCCTTTGGGCCAAATTTAATCTAGCACCTATTTTTATATGGCCTATGAGGTAAGAATAGTTTTTATAGGTGAACATTTCTTTTTTCTTTTTTTTTTTTTTTGAGACAGAGTCTCGCTCTGTCGCCCAGGCTGGAATGCAGTGGCCGGATCTCAGCTCACTGCAAGCTCCGCCTCCCGGGTTTACTCCATTCTCCTGCCTCAGCCTCCCAAGTAGCTAGGACTACAGGCACCCGCCACCTCGCCCGGCTAGTTTTTTGTATTTTTTAGTAGAGACGGGGTTTCACCGGGTTAGCCAGGATGGTCTCGATCTCCTGACCTCGTGATCCGCCCGTCTTGGCCTCCCAAAGTGCTGGGATTACAGGCTTGAGCCACCACGCCCGGCCTATAGGTGAACATTTCTAATTTACAGTTTAAGGATAGAGAGCACTAAATTTGAACTCCAATTAAGTGAAATGTTATCCCCTCAAAAACAATTCTGTTCTCATTGGTAGATATATAGCAGTAAATGTACTTGATTATTTCATTTTGAATTTTATAAAAAGTTTGTGAAAATTTATTTTCTTTCATTACGTTAAGGACGTTTTGCCCCATTTTGCCTCTTGACTGGCAGAGCCTAAAGTATTTACTCTGGCCATTTACAGAAAAAGTTTGCTAACCTCTGACCTAGGACATTGTGCTTACCCCCAACCCCAGCAGGGGAATTTGTCAACTGAATTTTATCTTATTTTATCTCAATGTAAGCTTCAAGACTGAAATGTCACACCAGTTCTGTCTTTTAGAATTTTACTCATTATTTATTATGTCCTTTATCGTCTGTCTAGGTTTGGTTATGAGAAAGGTATGGGAGGTATGAGAGAAAGAGATAATAAATGTGATCATGAGTTTTCATTTCTCTCCCTCTCTTACTTCTTTCACCTTTTTATCACTGATGGAATATTTGGGGATTTCCTTATGTGAGCTTCTAGACTGTGGCTTTCAGTCCTGGCCATCTCCCTGGTCTGTCGAAGTTAATTCTGTGACAGGGCACACAGTCTCTTAGGTAGTCTTCATGTATAGTTACTTCTTATGCGTTGCTTTCTTCACACAGATAATAGCATCCTCTGCTTCTTGTTCTGTAGGTTTCTTTATCCTGGAAATCCTTTCGTATTAGTATACAGAAAACTCTTTTTTTTAATGAGTACATGGTACTGTTTAGTTCCTAGTTGAAGAATATTTAGAGTTTTCTTAATGTTTTGTTATTGCAAATAATGCTATAGTGAATACTTTATTATGCCTGTTTAGGTGTATATCAGTAGGATTAATTCCTACAAGTAAAACTGTTAATTCCTACAAGTAAAATAGTTTGATAGCTATTTCCAATTTGCCTGCCAAAGAGATACTACCATGAACAAAATGCTGTGTATGTGTTTTTATATCAGGTCATCCTGATGAACATTTGTGAAATATTCACATTCTTTCCCATAAATGATTAAGGATTATCAGCATTAGAAAGAATGACCCTCCTGTTGAAAATCCAAATTTCTAGTGAATTAGAATTTCAGGGAGTAGGGCCCAAGAATATACATGTTTAACATTCCCCAAATGAAATGTTACATTCTGATGTATGAACCACTGCTCTGGGAAATACTGTAATATAAAGTAGACACCAAATGATAGAGTGAAGACTTAGCTATTTGTTTCTCTTCTCATTTTAGAACAGTGCCCAAACCTCGTGTTAAAAAGCAGCCTAAGACTCAGCGTGGAAAGAGAAAAAAGCAAGATTCTTCTGATGAGGATGATGATGACGACGAAGCTCCCAAAAGGCAGACTCGTCGAAGAGCGGCTAAAAATGTTAGGTAAGTTGTGCCCCAGAATGTTTCACTGGTGCAATGTGATAAAGTAGTTGGTTAGAGTTTGGTTCTCATAAGTTCGGGGTTGTGCACTTAATAGATAAAAATAACAACCTATGTCCTGAAGTTGTTTTCAGAAATCTGGTTAGCTTTCTTGCAAAAAGAATGGTATTGAGCCAAGGGGAATATGAAAAGAGTAGCAATAGCTCATTTGAAGCCTTCGTTCCTGTTAAAGAACCACCACAAGTTCACCTCCTGTCCAGTGGTGACTTAGTGACATTATCTTCATTTCGTAACTTTTTTTTCATTAAAGATATTTGGATTATATTTCTACTTCTGAATTGCTCTTTTGAGTCACAGACATTTTTCTGAGGTTCAACTTAATGTGTTGCTACTTGAATCTAATTTTATCAAGTACTAATAGGATATGAAGCATTAATAGGAATTATTATTAGTGAAATAGGCCAGACACAGTGGCTCATGCCTGTAATTCCAACAATTTGGGAGGCCGAGGCAAGCAGATTGCTTGAGCCCAGGAGTTTGAGATCAGCCTGGACAACAGGGTGAGACCCTGTCTTTACAAAAAGTAAGTAAAAGCCAAGTGTGGCGGCAGCATGCACCTGCATTCCCAGCTACTTGGGAGGCTGAGGTGGGAGAATCCTGGGAGATGGAGGTTGCAGTGAACTGAGATCATGCCACTGCACTCCAGCCTAGGCGAAAAAGCTAGATTCTGTCTCAAAAAGAAAAAGAAAAAAAAAAAATGAAATAAAGGAACAGATATATGCAAACACTAGTAGTTTACTTTATAGAAATCAAGTATTTTTGTTTTTAGATTTTACAGATTTCTTTTATTCTTCTTAGAGATGGTGAAAATGAATCCTAGAGACATTCATAACTTATTCAGTGTATCCAGTTAATAATTCCAAAGCTAGGTCTAGGCTTTGAGTATGCTAGTATATAGCCTAGCACTTTTTCTTACTATAACTGTACTACATCCAGGATTGTTTTTCTTTCTTGTGACTCAATCATTTGTTGTTAAATGGGAAGTTACATATATATATATAGAGAGAGAGAGAGTTATATATGTGTATATATATATTTTTTGAGACAGTTTTGCTCTGTTGCCTAGGCTAGAGTACAATGGCACGATATCGGATCACTGCAACCTCCACCTCCCAGATTCAAGTGATTCTCCTCCCTCAGCCTCCGGAGTAGCTGGGATTACAGGCGCCTGCTGTGGCGGCTAATTTTTGTATTTTTAGTAAATATGGGGTTTCACCATCTTGGCCAGGCTGGTCTCTAACTCCTGACCTCGTGATCCACCTTCTTCAGCCTCCCAAAGTGCTGGGATTACAGGTGTGAGCCTCCATGCCTAGCCAGTGTTTTTCCTTTTCGTTTTGTAAACCATCAAGTACTTGTGTTGAAGCTTCCAACAGTTTGGGAATACTTAAATTTCATATTCTTGTTACTGGGAGACAACAAACAGGGTTGAAATTTTTAATTTTAGAAATATTGCTTCTCTTTTTGCCTGATTAAATAGTAGCACATTTTTTCTTCCATTATGCTTTTTCTTCTTTTGTGGTAGTCTGCTTGTTTGCATAATAATCTGATACTAAAAAATGAAAAAAATAGAAATGTCCTTATAGTTTTCTTTATCTTGCTTACACAAATTAGTATAAATATAGCATTTTTATTTTCAAATGTGAGTTAGACTTCCTACAGTTGCTTAGGAGCATGCATCAGCTCTTTAGGAAAAAAAACAAGCTTTGAACCTACCAAATGGCAGATCTATAAAACAACATGTTTTTGGAACCAAAAGGGTATGGTTTCATATTCTAGTGATACTTATGTGTGGCAGTTTAATTCTGAAGAGATCATTTCTCATTTATTCAGCATTATTCCTCTTGCAGTTACAAAGAAGATGATGACTTTGAGACTGACTCAGATGATCTCATTGAAATGACTGGAGAAGGAGTTGATGAACAGCAGGATAATAGTGAAACTATTGAAAAAGTCTTAGATTCAAGACTGGGAAAGAAAGGAGGTATGTGTATTTGGGGAGCAAATTGCATTTTATATATGCTCAGTAAGGCTCAGATTTTAGGTATTTTAGCTCTGATGTGATGAATTTTAGTCTACTGCTGTATTTGTTATGATATGTAGAAGTCTTTCTGACCCAGTGTTTCAGAGCTGAGGACAAAGGAATGTGTCTACTATGTCTTTAAGATTTTAAATTAAGCTAGTATAGATAAGTGTCAATGTTTTATAAAGCAGTGATATAGCAGAGATACCTGTTAATTCACATTAAGCAAATCCATCTTTGGTTATTTGTTTCTTAATCTCCTTGTGAAAATACCAAACTGGTTAAATAAATATTTTGGTACTATCAACGATTTTTAAATACCTAATTTAGATATCTCATAACTAAGTTGCGTTAAACTTTCGTAAAGGAAATACCAAAATGCTTTTTCTTTTGGCGTTTTTGTTTTTTTTTTTCCTTCATTCTGTCTTCTATTGAGGTTAAGAGAGTTAACAGGGGACTTCGAGTAGGGGAGGTTGGAGGAAGATATTTCGATGTTCTATCCTTAGTCTTGGAGAGAGGGATTTGTTTTACGAGTTAGTAAGGGACCAAAACAAAAGGATGTTACTACTCTGTCTTTATTGTTTTTGGATAAGGGATTTCTTTGATTTCACCTGCAAAATTTGGAATATGTAAAAATTGGGTTTACATTTTTAAAATACTTGAAATTTGTGATTGAGTCCATCCTGTGCTGTTTGTGAATTTGTACTTATTTCAGGTTGGACTATTTTGATGCTTCATCCAAAAAGGGAGTCTTTAGAGAATTGCTTTCTTGGGAAGCTTTTTAATATCTAGTGTAATATACTCTCTTTCAAGTGTACTTAATCCTTTTGCAGCCACTGGAGCTTCTACTACTGTATATGCGATTGAAGCTAATGGAGACCCTAGTGGTGACTTTGACACTGAAAAGGATGAAGGTGAAATCCAGTACCTCATCAAGTGGAAGGGTTGGTCTTACATCCACAGCACATGGGAGAGTGAAGAATCCTTACAGCAACAGAAAGTGAAGGGCCTAAAAAAGCTAGAGAACTTCAAGAAAAAAGAGGATGAAATCAAACAATGGTACATTTTCCATCATGGATTAAAGAAATATATTTGCAGCCTGAGGGAAGGGGAGGTTTTAAAATAATGCATGGAGATCACAGCTATGTAGAATCTCAGATTTTGCTTTGATCATCTAAACATGGAGCCATTTACAATTCTATTTTATAAGATTGTGACCAGAAGATACTATATTTTTATATATGATTACCAAGTTTCTGGAGTTAACTAGCTTATGGAGCATTATTCACACATTCTTTAATTTTCACAATAAATGCATGAGATTTGTACTGTTATTACCCGTTTTATAGATGGGGAGAATATGGCACACAGCAATTCTGTGGGTGGACTCAGAATTTGAATTCTGACACCCTGAATCCAGAGCTTATTCTCTTAAGCACCTTGTTATTTTCCTGTAGTTAGGCTGGGATGGCTTAGATGTAAAGAATATTCTGGAACTCTCTGGGTTATGATACAATTAAAACTAATTCTGGTTTTATACAATTTGCAGAAATGATGTGAAGGAGATGATTAAGTAACTAAAACTGTGATAGTCCTCATGTGTTTAGTTTACTTACAGCCTTGAATGTCTGGGTGTTGTATATGGGAAATATGTGGAGCTATACCACACACAAACCTAAACTGGGTAATAATGGTATCAAGTTCAGCCTGAAGATATACCTGTCTGTGTGGTGTGATCAGCCTATTTTTGTGTGTGGAATGTGGACAGTAATTCTGGTTTTATTACTGTGCAAAATGTGCTACTTTAGTAAATTACATGTTTTTCCTTTGACTCAAAACTGAAAATATGTACCCCTTAGATGGTGAGGTAGGCTTGTAAAGCAGTTAGAAATTTGAAGTCCTCTGAAATACAATAATTCTAATGTTAAGTTGCTGCTGTTATCATCTGAAAAGTTTTGGTACTAAGAATAACTAGTTTTCCAAAAGTCGTGTTTAATCAATCCTAAACCCATACATATATGAGAAAAGGCATAGTTTTATTTGCCTGATCTGTTTAGATGTGTGAATTTGTCACATGAATCTATCACATAAAATAGTTATTTTTAGGTCTCTTTTTAAACAGGACACATCAGAGAGGCAGGTAACTGGTATATCCTTCTATGAGTGTAAGGTTTTCAGTGTTTTCTAAAAGTGTTTTTTTTTTTTTTTTTGTAAAATCTCTGGCCTAATTACTAGTAAAGATTACTCAAGGGGCAGATGTGAGTAAAAAATAGGTTTTCTTTTCCACCTTTGACTTTTGCTTTGATGTATTGTGTGTGGATCCCCAAACTTCAGTTTATGTGTACTTTTTCTGTCTGTCTGCCATCCAGGTTAGGGAAAGTTTCTCCTGAAGATGTAGAATATTTCAATTGCCAACAGGAGCTGGCTTCAGAGTTGAATAAACAGTATCAGATAGTAGAAAGAGTAATAGGTAAGTACATGGTAACTCACTTCAGCCATGTTTGAACTCAAGGAATAATGGCTTTTGCTTTTGGGAGTAATGTAAATTTAAAAAATGCACTTTGGAGACTAGACAGGTCCTAGATTTATTTTAAAGGAAAAGCTAAGAAGATTGGCTGGTAAATTTGGATGTGGGGGATGAAAGAAGGAGGTGTTAAGTATCCTGTCAAGATTTTCGGCCTCAACATGTAGAAGTATAGAGGTACCATTTACTGAAGTAGAAAAATGAAGGGAAGAGCCGATCATTGCAGTGAGAACCAATACCTTAGTTTGTTATTTGTAAGTTTGATTTACTTCTTAGTCATCTAATTGGAGAATATAATGAAGGCTGCAGCATATGTGAACCTGGAGCTTAGAACTCTTAGTCTGGGCTGGAGATTTAAATTTGGAAATTTCTCAGTATTTAGGTAGTATTTAAAGGCTGAGATTGAACAGGATCATCAGAAATAGAGTACCACATGGTAAGAAGTAGTATGAGAGCATTTCAACTTTTGGAAGTCAGAAAGAAGCTAGCAAAGGAGACTAAGAAAGAACAATCAGTGAGACAGGAAGAGAGCTGAGAGAGAGTGGGTCCCTGGAAGCCAAGTGATTCACATAGCCAGGAGGGAGGAAATGCTGTCAGTCAAGGACGATTAGGACTGAGACTTGATCTGTGAATTTGGCACTGGTGAAATGCATCCATGGAGTGGTGAGGGTGCGGCTAGGGTAGGTTCCAGAGAAAATGAGAGGGGATAGCAAGTATAAACAACTCAATGGGGGAGTTTTCTTACAAAGAGGGACAGAGAAGTGGAGTGTCAGCCTGAGAGAGAGATGAGAAAAATAATTTTTTTTCTTCTTCTTTTTTGGTTTTTTTTTTTTTGAGATGGAGTCTCGCTTCATTGCCCAGGCTGTAGTGCAGTAGCGTGATCTTGGCTCACTGCAACCTCTGCGTCCTGGGTTCAAGTGATACTCCTGCCTCAGCCTCCTCAGTGGCTGGGATTATAGGCACTCCCCACCCCCACCACGCCTGGCTAATTTTTGTATTTTTAGTAGAAACAAGAGTTTCACCATGTTGGCCAGGCTGGTCTTGAACTCCTGGCCTCAAGCAATCTGCCTGCCTTGGCCTCCCAAAGTGCTAGGATTACAGGCGTGAACCACTGTACCCGATCTTTTTTTTTTTTTAAGGTGTGAGGTAGTAGAATCTATTTGCATTCTTATTCATAGAACCTAAACTGTTTCATTCTTCATTGTATTTATAACTTTTCTGTCTTATTTTGTATTTGTTTAGCTGTAAAGACAAGTAAATCTACATTGGGTCAAACAGATTTTCCAGGTAAGCAAGAAATTTTATTTATAAATGTTCAACATTTCAGAACAGTGTATGTTTTGCAGATTATTTTCTTTTGCTACGTGATGTTTTGTTGATTATGCATAAAACAGAGTGTCATTTTTCACTTTTAATTGACAGTTGCTAATCTATAAATTTTTTTATATGAAATAGCTCACAGTCGGAAGCCGGCACCCTCAAATGAGCCTGAATATCTATGTAAATGGATGGGACTGCCCTATTCAGAGTGTAGCTGGGAAGATGAAGCCCTCATTGGAAAGAAATTCCAGAACTGCATTGACAGCTTCCACAGTAGGAACAACTCAAAAACCATCCCAACAAGAGAATGCAAGGTATGGTGATGGTTGGCTTTTGTTTTTTCAGGGAGAAGATATACTGATACAGAGGATTGGTCACATATGTGCTGAGAAAATATTACAAAATGAAATGGTGATTGCCATTTTGAAGTGAAAGAAGGTGACTTAAATGTGACATTAAAGCAAAAGCAGAGAATGAATTATTTCATGGCTTTGTTGACTTCTTTAATCTTGCAATTTACATAGTTAGAAATAGAGATATTTTGGAGAGTACTTAAAAGGATTTAGACACTTTTATTTTATTATTTTATTTTATTTTGAGGCAGAGTTTTGTTCTGTCGCCCAGGCTGGAGGGCAGTGGCACTTTCTCTGCTAACTGCAACCTCCGCCTCCTGGGTTCAAGTGATTCTCCTGCCTCAGCCTCCTGAGCAGCTGGGATACAGGCACGCACCACCACTTCCAGCTAATTTTTTGTATTTTTAGTAGAAATGGGGTTTCACCATGTTGGTCAGGCTGGTCTCGAACTCCTGACCTCAAATGATCTGCCCACCTTGGCCTCCCAAAGTGCTGGGATTACAGGTGTGAGCCACCATGCATTGGCTCACACCTATGGTTCCAGCTACTTGGGAGGCTGAGGTGGCAGGATCACTTGAGCATAGGAGTTTGAGGTCAACCTGGGCAAGATTGTGATACCCTTTCTGAGAGCAGGAAGTGATATAATAGGCGAGTATCTTTGAATTCTAAGTTAGAAGTTAAATATATAGGCTTATTTGCTAGATTGACTGTATAAATCCTTTCCTTGGAATTTTTTCCATCAGGAAAGTGATGTGCTTGGGTCCTCGGTAATAAAATATCAGACAAGTGGTATGTCTCTAGAAGTTGACATTCATGTTAATGGCACTAGAATTCTATCTGTGAAAACCAGTATTTAATTGCTGGTCAAAGAGTGTGATAGGGAAAATGTGATCAGAGAAGCACCGATGTAGAAGTCTGTGAGCTCCAGTGGTCATTGAATGGGTTTTAAGAGGAAGTTGTGGTTCTCGAGCTGCCTCTGGCCCTTGTGTAATGGATTGGTGCTGCTGGCTGGACAGACAAGAGGGGGGCCCAGGGTATTGCCCTCCCATGGAAGGTATCAAGAAAAAGATTCTTGTAGTGGTAGTTCAGTAGGAGACTGCTAGACTCCAGGGGTGAGAAGAAGAGGAATGATGTTGACAAGTACATCAAGGTCAAACTGTGTGTCTTGGCTACCTCGAAGGGTATTTTGACTTTATCTTCTAGGTATTGGTACTACTGAGTACAGTGGCAGTATGAAAACAGTATTTTATTTAGAAAGCTTCATCTAATAGCAGTATATAGGAGACTCTGGAGTAAGTAATTATTAAAGCCAGAAGGTCCAGCCAGTAAGATGTCATCGAAGTCCATGAATGAAGAAGTAGTGTGAGGACAAGGGAAGTAACAGTGGCATGGAAGGAGTGGATGGGAGAACAATTATGGGGTAGGTTTGGTAGGAATGGATGGATGGCTGGATTTTGGAGAGTAAGCAGTCAGATTCCATTCACTGCCAGCGGCCCTCATAGGAAAGCTAAATATATCAGTAACCTTATCAAATATTCTTATTAGGATGATACTTCTCATAATGTACCCTATAGAGCACTAATCTTCAGAGAAATGTCCCCTGAAAAAAGACTTCTGGCCATGTAACTTTGGGATACATCCCTGAATAAATTTTTCCTGTAAATTCACACTATGGACACACATTTTAGACTTTGAAAAGTCATGAGTAAAGAAATTTGTTTAACTTTTTCATCGGTTGTTTCCTAAACTGATTTGGCCACAGAATCCACATTTTTATGCAAACCATAGAGGCTGACCTCACTAGAATGCTACCCTTCAAGCCTCTGGGGCTGAAAACAACCTTCTCTTCAGAACCTTGTTGTTTCTGAAGGGAACACCAAATTCACACAATTTAAAGGGTTTAAGGTAGATAGGCTGCATTTCTGAATTTACAAATCCTGTTATGGTGAAGATCAATTGCGTTTAGCATATGACAGCTGGAGGCAATGTTTTGTACTTTTTAGAATAAGATAACATGAAGATAATTGTTTCTGAAAATAGGAGACTCTCACTGCCATATAATAGAGAAGACATAAAGTGCTATTTAATGATGTTCATAGACTTACTTCTGGAAAGGGACAAGTTAACTAAAAATGTTTTATTTGAGGATGAACCAACTCTGGCTTATGGAATATAAACCGTAAGAAAGGGGTGATGGAGTGAGCTGGTGATTCACACATGAAATTTACATTTTTGGCCAGGTACAGTGGCTCACGCCCGTAATCCCAGCACACTGGGAGGCCAAGGCCGGCGGATCATGAGGTCAGGAGATTGAGACCATCCTGGCTAACACGGTTGAAACCCTGTCTCTACAAAAAATACAAAAATTAGCTGGGCATGGTGGCAGGCACCTGTAGTCCCAGCTACTCGGGAGGCTGAGGCAGGAGCATGGCGTGAACCTGGGAGGCAGAGCTTGCAGTTAGCTGAGAGTGCGCTGCTGCACTCCAGCCTGGGTGACACAGCGAGACTCCATCTCAAAAAAAAAAAAAGAAATTTAGGTTTTTATGCTTTGATGCCGAATACGTGAATTGTGACTAGCATTTTAACATAGTACCAGTAAGAAAATTTTCTTTCAGACTTGGGCTTTTGTTTTTCAGGCCCTGAAGCAGAGACCACGATTTGTAGCTTTAAAGAAACAACCTGCATATTTAGGAGGGGAGAATCTGGAACTTCGAGATTATCAGCTAGAAGGTCTCAACTGGCTTGCTCATTCCTGGTGCAAGTAGGTAGAAAAATATGAGTGCAGTTTTCCTTACTGTTTCTGTCTTCTTTATTGTTAGATGTCAAGAATTCTTTTTTTCTTTTTTCACACCCTTGTTATATCTCAACCAAGAAATCTTTACACTGCATATTACAGAAATAAAATATGATTGAGAGAAATTCTTCCTGGAAATTTTTATGTATGTATAATACCATTTTATTCTGATATAAAGAATACTTTGTTATTTCATTATTTGGTTGGTAATTTGTCATAGCCAGAAACCTCTATTTATCGTGTTACTCATGAGTGAAAATAGCAAGTTAAGTCGCCCAAATCTTTAATGTGGGAGGAGTTACTCAGGAGGAATAAGAAAATGTCTTTTTCACGTGTATTTTCTTTCTAGGCCAGGCAAACTTTTAAGTTAATTTCCTACAGTAGTACTGTAGAGAATGTGATTCCCCTCCCTTCACCCCACTCCCTCCCTGTATAGACTGTAGGATTATCCTGTTCAGAGGAAGGTTGAACCTGTGAAAGTATCCTTTTTATAATGATACCACATTAATCTTGGGGGGGGCAAACAAAAAAAAGATGAGACAATGATAGCACTGGAGGTTTAAAGGTACATTTGGGAGGTACTTACAAATTTTCTTCACCAATTTCAAGTAGTTCCTGATTACTAAGTGCTAGGTGTTAGAAACAAATGCTTGTTCCTCAGTGCTGAAAAGAACTAGTGCTCAAGGAATTTTCTCAGCAAGGTGATTTTACTTTCTGCAGAAAGGGTGCTTTTCAGAAGCCTAATTGTCATGAGAGCACACTGAACAAAGAAAAGCAGAGGTTTTTATCCCTGATGCATTGGGTCCTTACTGTTGTGTCCTGTCTCCATTGGCTGGAGCTGGACCACACAATCTAGACGGAGTACGATTGCCCAAAAACTTAAAACTTTCCTAAATAGGTAAATGCGCAGTGGAAAACAAAGGAAAGGGGTTGTTTACGGGGAACTAGGAGAATAATAACATTTCCAAATAAGAAAGAGGCGTAGACTGTAAGCCAGGAAATGTCTGGGCGTGTTCGGACATTTCTGAGCAGGTTATAGTCCAGAACAGATAACCTGTTTTAAAGTACAAGGACATAGAATGTCCTTAATCCCTTACTATATTTAACAGCCACATAGGGCTTAACAAAGAAAGAGTTATTAGCAAAAAGCAGGGAAGCTTGAAGGAAGTTAATTTTTAAAAGAAACTATTATTTCTAACACTTATTATTTATTCTTTAACAAAAGGGGAAACTTTGAAGAGGAACTTTTTACTTTTCACATAGGGATCCATTAGTCCTTGAGAATTTAACAGTGAACTAATATAGATGTATTTTGCTGTCCTTACAGAACATGCAGTGTAAGAAGTACCTTTAATGCCTACCCATACACTTCTTTCTCAAAGTGCTCAATTAAGTGCAAGCTCCTAATGTCTTTAGTATTTTATAGTAAAGTAAAAAATCCTTACTTAGAATAAAAAGTACAGGCCTGGGCAACATGGCAAAACCCCATCTTTACCAAAAAATACAAAAATTAGCTGGACATGGTGGCACACTTACGTAGTCTCAGCTACTTGGGGGCTGAGGTGGGAGGATTGCTGGAGCCCAGGAGGCCAAGGTTGCAGGGAGCCATTTTCTTTCTTTCTTTTTTTTTTTTTTGAGATGGAGTCTCGCTCTGTCGCCCAGGCTGGAGTGCAGTGGCACGATCTTGGCTCACTGCAAATTCCACCTCCCAGGTTCATGCCATTCTCCTGCCTCAGCCTCCTGAGTAGCTGGGACTATAGGTGCCCACCACCACGCCTGGCTAATTTTTTGTATTTTTAGTAGAAACGGGATTTCATCGTGTTAGCCAGGATGGTCTTGATCTCCTGACCTCGTGATCTGCCTGCCTCAGCCTCCCAAAGTGCTGGGAATACAGGCGTGAGCCACCGCGCCCGACCTCAGTGAGCCATTTTCTCACCATTGCACTCCAGCCTGGGTGACAGAGTGAGACTTTACCTTAGGGAAAAAAAAAAAAAAAAAAGGACAGCTTAAAAAATATTTTTTCCCCTCAACGCTGAAAGGAAGGTTTCTAGTTATAGAGATGCATTTACAGTGACTTTTTCCAAAGTGAACCATCTCCTACTTTTTATCTGATAAAATCTAATACAATATTTAATACTCAGTTATGAAAATTAGGTGTCTTGAGAAGATTGTTTGAGAATGTGGGTTTGATATAATGATTCTGAATTGCTTAAAAATGATTTTTCGTTTTAGAGGATAATGGGACCTAATTCATCTAAATGACAGTTATAAAGTTAGATGAACTTCAAGGAATTTTCCTTAAAATAATCCTCATTTTATATTTGAGGGCTCTTAGGAGCAAAGGTGCCATGTACACATCCAGAGTTGCATGGTGTTTTGTGTACAGTCGTTGGCCAGCATTGTTTTAATTTTTTATTTTTTATTTTTTTTGAGACTGAGTTTTGCTCTGTTGCCCAGGCTGGAGCGCAGTGGCATGATCTTGGCTCACTGCAACCTCCGCTTCGCAGGTTCAAGCAATTCTCCTGCCTCAGGCTCTTGAGTAGCTGGGATTACAGGCACGCAACACCATGCCTGGCTAATTTTTGTATTTTTAGTAGAGATGGGGTTTCACTATGTTGGCCAAGCTGGTCTTGAACTCCTGATCTCATGTGATCTGCCCACCTTAGCCTCCCAAAGTGCTGGGATTACAGCTGTGAGTGACTGTGCCTGGCCAGCATTTTTTTACTTTAAACCAAAGGAATAAAAATCAATTGAAAAGGGTCCAAGCACCTGTTAAGCCCTGGTCACAGGAATGTTACATTACATAATGTGCTATTTTGGTCTGGTTCCAGAAAAACAGGTGAATCAGTTCAAACCTACTTTAGTATGTGTATGTAGACAATGGCATTTTCTAGGGGCAGGAAATATTGGAGAAACTTAACTGTGCTTCCTCCTCAATAGTACTGAAAAGGTGAAAGAAATGAGAAGGAAGTTACTCAAAGGAATATACTACATCTAAACTGTATAGAAAATTAGTTGTACCTGAGATGTATAGGGGTATGGCTTCATCATTCTCCCTTCCCCAAGTGTGATCTTCTTTGTTTCTGTATTTTACCCTTTAAACTAGCTATTTTGTAGAACACAGAAGGTATTTTTAGAAATTACCTCTTTTTGGTGAATTAAACGTCTTGTTTTTTGAATCAGTTAGGTTGCCTTTAACCTGTAAATTACTTTTAGTTCTTTCTGATTTGCTGATTAAACGTGTATTATATATACAGCAAATTTTCAGTGTTCTAATTTTCAAGAACCTTTTAATAATGTTTTCAATCTGATGTCTTACATGTAATCCTAATTTCCTGCCAAATGACTATGTTCTGTTTCCCAAATATATTTTCTTAACTCTGGCTGTTTCTTCAATTTTAACATTTTTTTCTTAGATATTCTTTTTCCATTAATATCCTGTTGAAATCTAGCCCATTTTGTAGAGTAGTGTTTCTCAAACTGTGGTTTAATGTAATGGTCCCCAACCTTTTTGGCACTAGGGACCGGTTTCATGGAAGACAATTTTTCCACAGGCTGAGGAGGAGGGAGGGGGATGGTTTTGGGATGATACAAGCACATTACATTTATTGGGCACTTTATTTCTATTATTACATTATACTATATAATGTAGAATCAGTGGGAGCCCTGAGTTTGTTTTCCTGCAACTGGATAGTCCTGTCTGGGGGTGATGGGAGACAGTGACAGATCACCAGGCATTAGATGCTCATAAGGAGTGTGCAACATAGATCCCTCACATGTGTAGTTCATAGTGGGGTTCATGCTTCTATGAGCATCTAATGCCATTGCTGATCTGACAGGAGGCGGAGCTCAGGCACTAATGCCAGCAATGGGGAACGGCTGTAAATACAGATGAAGCTTCCCTCGCTCACCCACTGCTCACCTGCTGCTGTGCAGCCAGGTTCCTGAGTTGGGTGTCCCTGGTCTAAGGAATACCTGAGTCAGAATCTCCAAAGGTGTTTGTCAGCCCTTTTCCATATAGTCTTATTTAGTAGATCTAGGGTAGGGTCCACAAATATGATCTGTAGCCTACCCCTGCTTTAGGCTAAAGTGTATTTAAAACAAGAGCCATACACCTATACATGGAGATCTAGGAAATAGTGTATGTGGCATTAAACAACCCAGTGGTGTGCAGTGGAATGGGGTAGGCCGGCCATAGGATTCACGAGCAGTGCTGATAGCTTTCTCTATTGATGGAGTCTAAGGTTACATGCTTGTCTTCACTTTTTACAAAGCTTGTCTTCTCTGTGATAAAAGATAGCCTATGGAAGGTGATGTGAAAAGCCTAAAGTAAAGAGTCTGACGAGGCTCTCATAGTAATCCAAGTCTAGATAGGTCACTTGTTATTCTGCTATTTTTGGTTTCTACTTTCTTCCTTATGTCGAAAGCTGAAGTAATTGCAGATGAGAGGAAATACAGTTGAGGCTTATGAATGACACCTTGCTCGACTGTTATTGTGCAGCATTGGTGTCATTGCTATTTATGGACATTCTGTGTTTTGGTGAACTAATGATTTTTTTGTTTTTATTTATTTATTTTTTTTCTGCAGAAATAACAGTGTAATCCTTGCTGATGAAATGGGCCTAGGAAAGACCATCCAGACCATATCATTCCTCTCCTACCTGTTCCACCAACACCAGCTGTATGGCCCCTTTCTTATAGTCGTCCCTTTATCCACCCTCACCTCATGGCAGAGAGAGTTTGAAATCTGGGCACCAGAGATTAACGTAGTGGTTTACATAGGTGACCTGATGAGCAGAAATACGGTGTGTAAACAAAAAGAGCTGGGATAGAATCTGTGTTATAAATGTAATTTGGAAATTGACTTGAAGCCTTTAGTAGATCATTAGTAAAGTTTTTGGTTATTATTCTGATACTGTGCTATGTTCTCAATATTAGGAGGTGTATCTATCACAAAAGTGCAACTCAGATGTTCTTTAACAAATATGCTTACTATTTAAAAAGCAACAGGAGTTTGTGAGTGGGAATCTCTTTTAGCTGGGTTGCAATATTAAATTTTTCTTCTCTCTGCCCTTTTTACTTGCTTTATATGAGATAATATGGAGTTAATACTTTGTGTAATATTAATATTATTTTTGCTATCTCAATAGACATTTACTGAAAATAAACATTCTTAGAAGTTGTTTCTTAATTTCTTAAAACAGTGAGGTTGCATAACTTACAAAAAAGGAGTAAAAGTAAAGGAAAACAAGTTATTTTAGGGCTCTAGAAATAAGAATTATTTTAATCGGTTACCAAACTTTATTTGGGCATCATGAATTTAGAACACAGTGACTTAAGTTTATCTTTGTTTAGCAGATCTTTTCTTTATAGTAACTTTTTTTTAAAGCACCTGCTGTGTGCTAGATGTTGTGCTGGGTGCCTTATGTATAATACCTGTAATCTTCATGATAGTCTTCAAAGTTGATGGCATTCTTTCCTACTACTGATGAAGAATTGACTCAGAGAATCTTAACACGTGCCCTAGCAAGCAAGAATGTGGCAGAGCTGGGATTAGGACACAGGTGTATCTATCTAGTCCAGAGCTTTCCTCTTTCATCACTGTATATAAACTATTTCTGGAAAATTGCTTGTAATAAGAACAAGCCATCAGCAAGGTTTAAACATTTGAGTTGCATGTTGTAATCATATATTTTCATGCAAATTCAAATTTATTTTTAGTAAATAGTTTCATTAAAATTGTGTAACTTAAACGCTGGCTGATTTCATTGGCCTAATTTTGAGTTTCTAAGAATATAGTTTTAGCTTGTTAAATCATTTGTTAACCATTAAAGAAGAAAAAAGAGAAATTCATAGGTTTACAAAATAGCTTAAAGCACTACATTCCAAAAATGATTGCAAACAAAGGAAATGAACTGTAAAAAATTGTAGTCACAGAAGTTTTCTTTGCTATCTCCAGTTCTCCTTTTCTTTGTTCTTTTTAACCCCACTCGGTGGTGATCACCTGCAGGCACTTACTGTCTTGTTCTCCAGTTCCTAACTTGACAGCCAAACTGCAAGAGCTTTGTCATGAGTCTTTGTGCTTGCTAAGTGTCTAATTATACTTCAGTGTGAATGTGCTCATCTTTGTGTTCTTTTACATTGACGTTATTATACGTATTGCATTATATTTTGGTCTTATAAGCCTCCCTTTTTCTTGGACACATCTCTTTGGTCTATGGTTGATGAAATTCCAAAGGTTGGAATTTGTTTTACTTGTTAATATATGTATTTTCCTATTCAAAAATAAATAAATTGCATTTTTAAAAGAAATTTCTAAGGATATGGGAGATCCCTTGTTGAGTTCAAATCACCAGAGTTTAGTAGCCGATGAGGTGCATTTTCTTCATTAGATGTGTTTCTGGGGGCCAGTTTCTTCTGATTCTGGCAATAAAGCTTTTGCTGTTCAGTGGTCAGTGTTTGAATTCTAACTCTTCTGCTTTATAGTTTGGTTGCTTAGGTCATTTTAGAATGTATGAGATATTCATTAAATTCTATTCCGATTTATTTTTTATTTGGCATGTTTCTATTACATTGATCACAACACTTATGTGATATAGAAAGGTAGAAGCAGAAATTATGTCTTAATTATGTTTTTTTCTTATAGATACGGGAATATGAATGGATTCATTCCCAAACCAAAAGATTGAAGTTCAACGCACTTATAACAACATATGAGATCCTCTTAAAAGATAAGGTGTGTAATTAATATCTACAAGGCTAAATCTTTTTCACTGTGACTTGTCCAGATGTTAGGGTCTGTTACTTTTCTGTGGAGCATGTTAAAAATAAATAAATACATGAAAGTTAAAAATAAAAAACAGTGGGTAGGGTCTGTACCTCCTACTTGCCGTGTTACTTTTCTCTTATTTCAAAAAGTAAGCAAATGAACAACCAGAAAAATTACTCAAAGGATATTAAGGTTATAAATAGAAAACAAAACCCTATAGATGAGGGGACCTTAGATCACCAAGTCCAATTGAATTAAACAGAATGAAAGGGTATCGAGGTCAATAAATTACCTGAGATTATTGTCAGTCATTGGATGCCACCTCAGGTATTTGCCTTGAATGTCATCTTAGGCATTTCCTATTGTATCATTGTTAAGGCATTTCTCCAGAAAAGATGACGTGAATGGTCTTTGTGAGGAGGACAGAAATAAGAAGCTCTTTAAATATCGCCTTTCTGCTAAGAAATATATGTGGTAGGTAGATCCCATTGGTATTAAGTGCAAACAAGTTCAGTTTGGTGGCTCTTGGTGTTTGTGTGCTTCAGGGTTGGGGTGGAGAATAGGCAGGAGAAGGACCGTAATTAAGGGGAGAATACAGAATCATGTGGTTTTTGTTTTTGTTTAATTTTTGCCCAGCATAGCAGTTTTTGTGTTCTTGCTGTGGGGCATGCAGTAATAGCTGGTATAAGAGGCCCACCTATACCTTTTAGATGATGATACTCTCGTTTGAATAGCTACCAATCTGGCAACTAACAGAATAAACAGAAGAGTCCTAATATATATTGTCAGTGAAGAATAAATGTGTCTATTTATACCTTTGTAATGGTATTTATACAGAGATAATTAACACTTGAAAGCACTTTTGGGTTCCCTTCTGACCTGGTGGCTCGTTCTGTTTTGTTTTTACTTTAGACTGTGCTGGGCAGTATTAACTGGGCCTTTCTGGGAGTGGATGAAGCCCATCGGTTGAAGAATGATGACTCTTTATTGTATAAAACTCTGATTGATTTCAAGTCCAACCATAGGCTCCTGATTACGGGGACCCCTCTTCAGAATTCCCTCAAAGAGCTCTGGTCCTTGCTGCACTTTATTATGCCGGAGAAGTAAGCTCCTTCCTGTGTATTTCAAAAGATGCTAGAATGTCTGAAATGCCAATGCTTTTTAACTGTCTTAGTAGACCTTAGGGAAAACAGACGGCATGGTTTGGGGAAAGCAAAGCATCAAATGGAGGCAGGGATGGCAGTAGTAAAATGTTTCATAATCAGTGAAAGAAAGCACAGAAATTAGCCTGTTAAGGAGGAAAGCAGTATTGTCTGCCGAAAGACTGAATTAGTTAATGCAGTTGGCAAATAACTGTTAAATAGATGACATCAGACCTTTTCACTGTTGGTATAAGATAATATAAGTAAAATGAAATATACAAGGTACACAAGCACTGAAAAGTAGGTTACACTCAAATATCTGATAGCTGAAACATCAACTTTACATCTTATTTACATATTATTAAAGAACTGTGGAATGTCTTTATTGAAAAGATTTTTATGGGAGAGATGATGTGCACATCTCATAAAACTTAAAATTATCCAGTGGTATTCAGTGATACTTAGAATAACATCTATATTCGTTAATTTGGAGGACCCCACTCAGTCTGGCCCCTTGACAATAATCTGATTCCTCTCATCCACTTTCTCCATCACTCATTATGCTTCAGCCATTCTGGCCATCTTTCTCTCCCTTAAACATGCCAAGCCATTAGTATTCCTTCTTGACTGGAATGCTATTTCTTCTTATCTTCACATGCCCAGCCACCTTAATGCTTCAGCTCATCTTGTACGACCACCTCCTTTCAGAAGTCTTTGCAGACTGCCTAACCTAAAGTAGCCCTTTAGACATCTTATCCCTAACCGGTTTTAGTTTCTATACAGCATATCTTTTTAAATTTATGTTCTCATTCATCTCATGTCATTAAATTATGCATGAAAATCACAGGGATTTTGTTTGCTTGATTCATTGCTGGTTTGCATTGCCTAGAATAGCACCTGGTGTACAGTAAACAATTCAGTTAATATAGTTGTTCAATTGATAGGTATATGCTCTACAATCATTTTTTGTTTTGTTTTTTTTTAATTCAGGATTAAATTTTATTTTTTACTTTTATTTTTTAAATTTTAAATTTAAATTTGTTTAATAAATTTATAGTTTGCAACCATCATCATTGCCCAGTTTTAGAACATTTTCCTCATCCCAAAAAGTTCCCCGTTGCTTGTTTGCAGTTAACCTCTGCTTCCACATATAGCCTTAGGCAACCAATAATCAGCTTTTGTCTCTAGGGATTTCCCTTTTTTTTTTTTACAAGTTTTACATAAGTGGAATCCTAATATGTAGGCTTTTGTTTCTGGCTTCCTTCACTTAGCATATTTTTTTGGAGATTCATTCATGTCAGTCAGTAGTTGTTCTCTTTTATTGGGTAATAATATTTCATTGCATCCAGTTAAAATGTCCAGTTACGGACATTTGGATTGCTTTGTTTTGGGGTTGTTATATCTTTGCGTGGACGTATGTTTTTCTTTCTCTTGCTTAGAGACTTAGGAGTAGAATTGCTGGATTATTTGGAAAGTTTATATTTAACAGTTTAGAAACTACCACGCTGTTTTCTAAAGTGACTACCATTGTGCAGTCCTTCCAGAAATGTTTGAAGGTTCTAGTTTCCCTACGTCATCACCAGGACTTGGTACCTTGTCAGTCTTTTTGATTCTAGCCATTCTGGCGAATGTGTGTCATTGTGGTTTTGACTTGCATTTCCCTAATGGCTAATGATGTTGAACGTCTTTTCAGGTGTTCATTAGCCATTTGTATGTCTTTGGTGCAATTTCTATTCAAATGTTTTGGCATTTAACTCATGCCTCCTGTTCCGTCATTGGAACTCTAAGCATGTGGGAATTATTTATATCCTACTGCTCAAGGTCATTGCCAAGGTCTGATTGCAAAAATTCAAAAAATTGCAACCTCTCTCATAAATGGGTTAAAAAAAATTGGATTGTTTGTCTTATGAGTTGAAGAGGTTTTTTATTTCTTTAAAAAAAATTCTAGGCCGGGCACGGTGGCTCAAGCCTGTAATCCCAGCACTTTGGGAGGCCAAGACGGGCGGATCACGGGCTCAGGAGATTGAGACCATACTGGCTAACATGGTGAAACCCCGTCTCTACTAAAAGATACAAAAAAACTAGCCGGGCGAGGTGGCGGGCGCCTATAGTCCCAGGTACTCAGGAGGCTGAGGCAGGAGAATGGTGTAAACCCGGGAGGTGGAGCTTGCAGTGAGCTAAGATCCGGCCACTGCGCTCCAGCCTGGGCGACAGAGCAAGACTCCATCTCAAAAAAAAAAAAAAAAAAAAAAAAAAAAAATACTCTAAATACAAGTGCTTTGTCAGTACAGTCCCCAACTTTCTATAGTTTGATGTAAAATTTTTTGATTTTTCAGTGATATGAAAGCAATACACTTTCAGTAGAAAGTATACTTTGAATAAACACAAGCATTCTGTTTTTCATTTTCAGTGTAATATTCAATAAATTATGTGAGATATTCAACTCTTTATTATAAAATTGGCTTTGTGTTAGGTGATTTTGCTCAATAGTCTAATGATAAGCATTCTGAACACATTTAGGGTAGGCTAAGCTGTGATGTTTGGTAGGTTAAGTGTATTAAATGCATTTTTGATTTAACAGTATTTTCAACTGTTGAAATTTTGATTTAACAGTATTTTCAAAAATGGGTTTTTCAGGTCATAACCCTGTTGTAAGTTGAGGAGCATCTGTATATGATTTGAACATATTTTATCCCGATCTGTGGCTTCTTTTCACTTTTTAAATGTTGTCTTTCAAAGAGAAAAAGTTACTGATTTTGATGAAGTTTAATTTATGGATTTCTTTGTATGGATTGTGCTTTGGATATCATATCTGAGACAGATTTGCCTAGCCTGTGGACACAAAGACTTGCTTCTTTATTTCCTTCTGGAAGTTTTAGCTTTTATATTAGGTCAGAGTACATTTTGTTTATAGTGTGAACTGTGAGTGCCTTAGTTCTTTTTTTTGCAGTAGAATTTGGGAAATTGTTCTAGTATCACTTGTTGAAAAGAATGTCTGTTCTCCATTGCATTGACTTGACACCTTTGTTGAAACTCAGTTGACACCATAAATGTCATGCTTTGTTTCTGGACTGTCAGTTCTGTTTTATTAATACATATTTCTGTCCTTCTGCCAATGTCACACTGTCTTGATTAATGTAACTTTCAACTGCTTTTTTATTTTTTAGTTTTTTTGAGACGGAGCCTTGCTCTGTCACCCAGGCTGGAAGTGGAGTGGTGCAGTCTCAGTTCACTGCAATGTCTGCCTCCTGGGCTCAAGCGATTCTCCTGCCTCAGCCTCCCAAGTAGCTGGGATTACAGGCATGCACCACCATGCTCAACTAATTTTTTGTGTTTTAGTAAAAATGGGGTTTTGCCGTGTTGGCCAGGCTGGTCTTGAACTCCTGACTTCAAGTGATCCACCCTCTTTGGCCTTCCAAAGTGCTGCAATTATAGGCTTGAGCCACTGCACCCGGCCTAGACTGCTTTTTGAAAATGGAGAAGTACAAGTTCCATTTTCTTCTTTTTCAGAATTGTTTTGGTTACTCTAGAGTTCTTGGCACTTCCATATACATTTTAGGATCAGGTTGTTAATTTCTGCAAGAAAAATATAGAAATTGTGTCGAATCATATATCAATTAAAGCAAAATTGTTAATATTGAGTCTTCTAAACCATAATCATGGAAAGTTTTCTCCATTTATTTAGATCTTCTATAATTTTTCTCAGTGTTCAGTGGTTTTCAGTTTAGAAATCTTATACATTTAAAATATTATTTTAATTCTGACTATATTTTGAGTGGAATTAAAAAAATAACCTATTATAGAACTATAATTGAGTTTTGTATATTGATCTTACATCCTGCAAACTTGATAAACTTACTGTTTCTACTGTGTGTGTCTGTCTGTGTGTTTATATTGTTCTGTATTTCTTAGTATTTTTCTATAGACAGGATTATGTTTTCTGTACCTAAAGGTTTCTTTTCTAATGTGGATGCTTTTTATTTCTTCTTCTTGCCTTATTGTATTGGCAGGAACCTCCATCTTAAATAGAATTGGTGGGTGCAGGATGTTGGCTATAGATTTTTTTTCGTAGATACCCTTTATTGAGTTGAGGAGGTTTTCTTCTCTTCCTAGTTTGTGAGGTTTTAATAAAGAATGGATGTTAGGTTTTGTTAAATGCTTTTTTTCTGTGTCTGTTGAAATGACCATGTGGTTTTGCCCTTTAACAATATAGTATATTACCTTAATTGCTTTTTAGACATTAGGCCAACTTTTTTTTTCCTAGCGTAAATCTGATTTGTTAACAGTGTTTAATAGTTTTTATGCATTGCTAGATTCACTTGGTTAGTATTTTGTTAAAGATTTTTGCATCCGTTTGGTGTTTTTTTTTGTTTGTTTTTTGAGACAGAGTTTCCCTGTGTTACCCAGGCTAGAGTGTAATGGCATGATCTCGGCTCACTGCAACCTCCACCTCCCAGGTTCAAGCAGTTCTCATGCCTCAGCCTTCCAGGTAGCAGGGATTACAAGCATGCACCACCATGCCCGGCTAATTTTTGTACTTTTAGTAGAGATGGCGGGGTTTTGCCATGTCGGCCAGGTTGGTCTCCAACTCCTGGGCTTAAGTGATCTGCCTGTCTCCGCTGCCTAAAGTGCTAGGATTACAGGCGTGAGCCACTGTTCCTGGCTGCGTCTGTGTTTTTGATTTTAATTAGAATTTTAGTCTGTAGCTTTTTGTTTTGTTTTGATGTTTACGTTGCTTTGGTTTTGGGATCATAAAATGAATTGGAGAGTGTTTCCTTTCTGTTTTCTGAAGGAGTTTGTATAAGTTTCGTGTTACTTCTTCTTTAAATATTTAGTAGAATTCACCAGTGTAGCCATGTCAATCGTCACTTTGTGGGAAAATTTTTAATGACTAACCTGGTTTCCAGTTACAGGTTCACTTAAGTTTTCTATTTCTTCTTGACTTATTTTTGTTAATTTGT